TCCTCCTCCTCCTCCTCCTTTGGTGCTAGGGATTGAATCCAGGGTCTTGCATATAGTAAGCATACATTCTACCACTAAACTGTATCCCCAGCAAGGCTATTTTTTCCTTTTACTATAACCCCATTGTTTTTCACTGCTATTTCCTCAACCCTATTTTTTAAGGCCATCTACTGTAAGAGTGCCATCTGTTTTTCCCAAAATAACTTTGAGAGACAAAGAGTTGTCTTTGTTTATAGCTGTCATTTCCTTAGGCTGAGTCCCCCAACGTGGAATTACTAGAGGGACCTTTTTAAGGCCCTGATTTATCTGTTGTCAAATTATTTTGGGGGCAGTTGTCCTGTACCAGAGCCAGGATAAGATGAAGATGATCAGTCTTAAAGGATTATCATGCTTAGCTGGAGGGGAAGGGCTTTGACATGAAAGGAAAAACAAGAGTAAATACCAGGCTGAGGAAGCAGGAAAGCATCAGGGGACCTAAGTGACTTGTATATGTATGTTGAGCCTTGAAACAGGCAGGATACTGTGGAAGATGTGGGCTGGGGCCAGATCAGTGGAGTTTGGACCTTGAGGTGCTGAACAAACCGAGTGAGGAAGGGTTTGGAGCACCCAGCTGGGCCTCGGTAAGCATGTGGGCTGGCGGGGGCAGGACTTGTCCTTAGGTAGGGATTATGGGCTAGGTCATAAGGAACCCAAACCATGCTGGGAATGAGATTGAGTGTGGGGGAAGGGCGGAGATATTTTGGAAGTCAGAATCCAGACAGCCTGACAGCTGACATGACTGCTACTGATTAGAGGGAGGCCATGAGGGCTGACGCATGCGCGTGCGTACATTTGCGGCAGGGCTGATTTGAGAGATTCTGAGTTCTGAGGGCTGTTGTTCACTCCGAAGAGAATGTTGGTCCTGGGATCTCGGTTTGACCATGGTTTGGGGCCAAGGTTGCCGAATAAAATAGAGGATGCCCAACAGACTTTAATCGCAGAGGAACAATGAGTAACTATTTCATGTTCGGGATTAAACCCAGGCCCTTCACAGTGGACTACATCTCCAGCTTTTTATTTTATTTTTTATTTTGAGACAGGGTCTCAATAAATTACAAAGTTGCCCAGGATGGGCTCAGACTTGTGATCCTCCTGCTTCAGCTTCCCAGAATGTGGGATTCCAGGCACTTCTTTTCACCATGCCTGCCTTGAATAATTTTTCAGTATATATTTTAACATTGCTTGGGACATATTTATTTCTACTAAAGCAATCATTCATTTTTTGTTTGAAATTCAAATTTAACTGGCATCTTTTCCTTTTTTTCCTCAGTGCTGAGAATTAAATCCAGGGCCTCACAAATGCTAGGCAAGTGCTCTACCACTGAGCTACATCTCCAGCTCCTCTGTTTTCTACTTTTCGTTGTTTGTCTCCATTTTTATTGGCTGAATCTGGCAGCCCTATTTGGAGGTCAAAGCGCAGAGAAATGTAGGGGAAGAATTCAGATTAATGTAATCAGAACAAAGGCTCGGAATAAATGTTTTAATTGATTTGATCTTGAATTTTGCTTTATTTCATCCAAATGCTTTCTGTAAATCTCAAGGGGAGATTAAAAGGAGGACAAAAGCTAAGGCCATCTGACAGACGTGGCAGTGGTAGGAATGGTGCCAGTCCCTACTTTGACCCACACTGGCCCCAGTGGCCTGCCTGGGATGAGGCTGGATGTGTGGGTCCGCAGTCTACGGGATCTATAGTCTAAGGGTGTGACAGACTGCCACTATGTGCTGGTGCACATGCGTGTGTGCTCACAGGGATGGAGATTTGCTTGCACTCAGTTGCTTGTGTCCCTGCACATGCGCAGCAAAAGTCCCTGGGGAGATGCTAAGGAATGATGGAGGGTGGCCATGTCCTTGGGAGGGACCAAAACGGAATGGGGACTGGGCAGAAGGAAGCCTTTTTATTCTTCTCCTTTTTTATATTTTGAATTCTTTAAAAAAAAAAAAAAAAACTTGGGCTGGCAAGATCGCTCAGCAGTCCAAAGTGCCTGCTTAGGCAAGCTTAGGCAGGTGCAGGGGACCATGATTGGATCCCCAGCACCACATGCTGAGCCAGCCCTGCCCTCAGGGCAGGCTGAGACAGCAAAAAAACAAAACAAAACACAGCAAAACAAAAAACCCTAAAAAACCTCATATACCTACATTACTCTTTGAAATAAACCTTTCAAAAGCTGGAATATACATTTCTTCAAAGATGACAAAGTTGTTATACAGTTTAACCAAAGAACAGTAAAAAAAAAAAAAAAAAAAAATTGAAGTGGACGGCTCGGGCAGGGAGACTTGTCTATTTTGAGACAGGGTCTTGCTGTATAGTTCAGGCTTCACTCGAACTCACTATGTAGCTCAAGCTGGCCTTGAACTTGTGATCTTCCTGCCTCAGCCTTCCTCTCTAGGGATAGGATTCCAGGTGTGTACCACCATGCTTAGCTTGTTTTCTTCACTGTTGTACCTGAGTCCCTACATGTAGGGCTGGCTGAGCCATTTCTTGATCAAGAATAATATGTTCTTAAATTTTCATCCATATTTGAAAGGGATGGTAAAGGAGCCACGCCCACTGTATTTTAAGAAGTTAGCTCTGCTTGCATGTGTGGTCATTGCCAGAGAATGGAAACTTGGGTGTGAAAGGAATTGGTGAGAGAGAGATTAAGGGCATAAAGGCTGGGGTTGCTGGAGAGAAACAGCATGGGATAGGCCAATGATGGGCGACCCCTGCAGTGTAGGAGACCCCAGCAATCAAGGGGTGAGAGTTGCAGGGAGAACAGACGGTCACCAGCATTAAAACATTCTACAGACAACCCTGTGGATGTGAAGGGATAGGGCATATTAGTAGACTTTCTGGAAGAAAGGAGCTAATCCTACGCTGAGATTGCTCAGACTACTTGGGAGCAGGTTATCAGCCGCAGGTCCCCTGTGTGCTCTCATCCTGCAGGATGACTGCCTGGTAGCTTAGTGCTTGTAGGGCTTTGCTTCTTTCACTTGTATGCAGGGCCTAATGACCTCTGTTTTTCTTTATTTCCTTTCAGAATGCTGTTTCCAAGTATGGCTCCCAGTTCCAAGGCAATTCCCAACATGACGCCCTGGAATTCCTGCTCTGGTTACTGGACCGTGTCCATGAGGACTTAGAGGGCTCATCCCGAGGGCCGGTGTCTGAGAAGGTTGGTCACTCTCAAAACAATGCATTGTGTTGAATTTGCTGGCTTTTTTCCCCCTCCTCTGAATATTTACTCAATGTCTTAAATTCCTGTATGTTCTGGCTACTGTATACACAGTGTTCTCTGCTTCCTTCCTTTAGCTCCTTTCTTTTAGACAGGGCGTTTCCTCCCACTGCAGTATTTCTCATCTTCCTCAACCCCAGTGAAACAGTGATTACTTAGAGAGAAATGTTTCTTTCTGCCTAGAGTCTTGGTACTCATCTGACCATGTGAGGCCATGAGGGCTATTCCTTATAATTTCTGGATGGTGCTGTTTCAAATCTACTGTTGCTTTTTCTGTTACGAATTCTACAGGGCAGCAGTTTCTAACCTTTCCTCTCATTTCCCAGGATGGATGATTTTTACATTGTACATTTAGCATTTCCAGATGAAATTCCAGACCTTTGGAAAGAGGCAAGCATTACAACAATTTTAATAGCCACAGTTAATTGATACATCAGCTAATTTCTTTATGGATTTTGTTAAATAAAGATCAATACTGGCTTATACTTTAATATGACCCCTTTATCTCTCCCATAAGAAAGTAGGAGTGAATGAAGTTATTATCATGAGTGAGCAGTTATAACAACATCCTTAAATAACCTGCTATAATTTAGAAAGGTATTTTTATTGTTTTTTGAGTCAGGGTCTTACTACACAGTTCAGGCTGGTGTGGAACTCACTAGGTAGCTCTGGCTAGCCTCGAATTTGTAGGGCTCCTCTTGCCCCAACCTCCTAAGTGCTGAAATTACTGGCGTGTCATAAGCTTTGGTAACTAATCAGTAACATTCCTTTTGATGTAACTCATGACTGATTCAGGTATAGCTCCAAGAACTACTTTATCAGTCTTTTTTTTTTTTCCTTTTTGAGACATAGTCTTGCTATATAGTTCAGACTAGCCTTGAGCTCACTTTGTAGCCCAGGCCAGCCTTGAACACGCAATGATCTGTCTGCCTCAGCCTCCCAAACACTAGAATTACGGGGTGGCTCCACTATACCTGGCTTTCTTATAATTTTTTGAGACAGAGCCCTGCTGTGTACTTGAAGCCAGCCTTGAACTCACTATCTAACTCTGGCTGGCCTCAAGCTCATGACAATCCTCCTGCCTCAATCTCCTGAGTATTGAGATCACAGGCATGCATCACCATGCCCTGCCGCTTCATCATTTTGTTGTTTTTTTTTTTAAATCAGGACATTTGATCCAGCCCCTCTCATGAATAGATGCAAAAGCCCTTGGAAAGTGATTAGGTCTCTCAACCATTAACTACCTATTACTTCATAATTTTCTTAGAGCCCATCAGTCTGACTCATAGAGAAGAAATGTCCCAGGAAGCTCAGTCTTTTGTTTGTTTTTTTAATTTGTTGACATACACAACTATTCTCTTTTTGATTCTATATTATTTTATTTATGTACTTTTGAGATAGAATCTTGCTATGTATTTTAGGCTGGGCCTTGAACTCACTATGTAGCTACACTGGCCTCAAATTTGTGGCAGTCCTCTGGTCAAAGTCCCCAAATGACTTTTTGTGAGGGAGGTGGTTTATTTTATTTTATTTTATTTTATTTTTTATTTTTTTATTTTTAAACAGGCTCTTGCTATATAATGTAGGCTGGCCTTGAACTCACTATCTAGCTCAGAGTGCCCTAAAACTTGCAGCAATCCTCCTACCTCAGTTGCCTGAGCCATTACAGGGATGCACCACTGTGTCCAGCTTTTCTGTTTTGAAAGGTCAGAGTGGAACTTTAGGAGAAGGAGCCCAAGACCGTATATGTCCTGTGTATCAGAGAGGTGGGGTGAACTTCAAACTGCACAGGTGAGAGAAAGGATAGAGTCAGGATTCTAGCTTATTTTTAAATTGGGAACCCTAGTTTCATTTGTGAACCCCAAAATGCACAGATGAAGCAATGATAGTGATCACCCCAACAAAACCTGAGAGAAACAGGCACTGTATGGCTAGGGAGGTTCCTTTGTGATTTTTTTTTTTTTTAAATTAACAGTGATTTTTCTCTGCTGGGATTATAGATGTATACTCAGAGGCTGAGGCAGGAGGATTGCCATGAGTTTAAGGCTGGCCTGAGCTACGGAGCAAGATTCTTGTCTCAAAAAACCTAAAGCAAATAAAAACAAGCAAACCATAGTGCTTTTCCATCTATCTTATTTGTACCCTTTTAGTTGATGGAAATTTAATTTGACCCAATATCTTGGATCTATTTTAAGAGAAAGACATTTATTGGCTTTTAATATCCTACATAAGTCCAAAGATTGAAGAAGCTCAGGTGATGTAACAAGGCCTCACTCCCGCTCTGCCACATGTCAGCCAGGGCTGCTTTTCTGTTCCTCTTCATAGAGCCTGGCATTCCAGGGCAGAGTCTGATTGTCCCAGCTTGGTTCCCAGGTCCATTCCTGGACACTTGGCCAGAAGAATGAGATACTCTGATTGGGACACTTGGGTGACAGCCCGTGGGGTAAACATGGGCAGAGAAGGACTCTTTAGAGCCAGCAGCATTTGCTTCCCCCAGGAATAGAGTACTGAGCAGGTAAATATAGCCCCGCTATATTGTGTATTCCGTATGTTTAAGGGAGGACATTTGGAAACCAGAATGTGTTTCAAAAGTATTCAGATACTGTTTACTGTATGTTTCTTGTGTGCCAGGCATCTGCCTTGGTGCTTTTCATGACTTATTTTGCTCCCTGGCACATAGCAGACACTCGCTAGACTCTTGAATTTTAATAGCCATCATGGTTTCATATTTATAAGGATAACTCATGTTCTATAGTTAAGGGAGATTTCAGTGAAGGAAATTGTTGAGTGACTCATCTTCTACTGAGTGGAAATAGAACCAATCGAACCTGAGCTTGTCTGTTCCAAATCCAGTGTGCTGGGCGCCCGTATAGGTGATTCATGTCTTCTTAGTCACCTGCTGAGGGACAGGAGACTTAGGAAAAGTGGTCAGGGAGAGGAGAGGGGGAAAGCGGGGACTGACTATACCTGGAAAGTACATGGGTAGACCATGGTATTAGCTTCCATTGCTATAATAAAACACTTAAAGTAGTTTAGGAAGAGGAAAGCTTATGTTGGCTCCAGTTTTAGTCTGTGGTTGGGTGGATTCATTGCTTGTGGGCTTCTAGTGAAGTAGAACATGGTAGCCCAGAGCCTAGGATGGAATGAGCCACTCAAGTCATGGCAATGGGGAAGTGGAAGAAAGACATCACAAGAGGGTGGGTCCCTGTAAGTCCCCTTTGAGGGGAAACCCCTATGACGTAAGATCTTCACTGGGCCTCAGTCCTCAAGGTCCCATTCCTAATAGCACCATGCTGGAATAAAACTTTTCGCATATGGGACTTCAGAAATATTCCATGTCCAAATATTGGTCTTCCAGGTTGTCTTGGTTTCCATCTTTGGTGTTTTTGGTAGCAGGAAGAGTCATTGGGCTTAAGAATGGGGAAGATCACCGAAAGGTTAGTCAACTTGCCTCAGGCTACACAGTAAGCAGGAGAGCCAGAACCCAAACCCAGAAATGCAACCCCAAACCAGGGTTGCTTAACCCCAACACTTTTGACAGTTTTTGTCTGTTTGCTTTTTGAGATAGGGCCTCACTGTGTGGTCCAGGCTGGCTTTATCCTTATGATCTTCCTACTTCAGCCTCCCAAATCTAGAAATTACCAGTGTAAACCATCATGCCTGGTCCACTTTTGACATTTGGAGTAGGTAATTCTTTGTTGAGAGGGCTGCCTTGGCTATTGTAGCATTTATCTCTACCCAGTAGATGTCAAGGGCTATCACTAGTTGTGAGGTTTTTTTTTTTTAAAAAAAGATCTCCAGACACTGTCAAATGAGGTGCAAAACCATGCTCAGTAGCAAATCACTGCTCTAGAGCTTGTGTTTCTAACGTTAGTGTGCCGTCCCAGACCTTCCTGTAAGATAACTGGCCAATAATTCTCTTTATATAACTCCAAGAATAAGTGAAAGCAGCCATAATTGGTCTTCCAACTTCCTTCTTCTTCTTTTTTTTTTTTTTTTAATTCAAAGTAGTGCTGAGAATTGAACCTAGGGCCTTATCTTTGTAGGCAAATTCTCTACCACTGAGCCACATCCCCAGCCAACCCCAGCGCCCGATGTGCCCTGTTACAGTGTTCTCCGCAGTATAGCCACATCTCTTCAGAAAGAACATCAGATTGTCATGCTCCTTCCTACATTGCTTCATTGGCTTCTTTGCATGCTGAGGACAAAATCTACCCTCCTGTGTTGCTGACATAGGCCTATCTGACTGGTCCTGCCAACCAATCAGCTAGATCCCAGACCCCTTGCTCCTCTGACTCAGTATCCATGAACTGCTTGGCTTCTTCCTATCCCTTTCTGGGCACAGCATATTAGGGATAGGGCAGGCTGGGGAAAGAGCTCAGTAACACAAGTGCCTGCCTGGAAAGCACAAGGTCCTGAGTTCGATTCATGGTACCAAAAAAAAGAAAAAGAAAAAAGAAACCCGTGTTAGGGGTATGACATTTTATCAGCATGTCTAGGGACAGGAGTATAACTGACCCTCACTGAGAGCTGATAAAGGTAGAGAATGTGTTGGGGTCAGGACAAAATCTCTGCTGAAGCTTGCACTCAGAAAATCAGGCTGCCTGTGGGGGCCTGGCTGTGTGTGCCACGCTTGAAGGAGGAAAGCAGAGCTATGGTGATTGTCCGGCATGAAATTTCATTTTCTGAGAAGGAAACTTGTCGTCCTCTGTGTAACTCTGAGTGATTCTTCATTTTAAAGTGATTTTTGTTTTGAGGATATAGGAAAGCTATACGGCTAGATTTATTTGTAACTGGAATAGAAAACACAAGGACCACTTTCTTTTCCATTACTTTAATGATGCTCAAATGTTTTCATCCTGCGAAAAGGGTATATTTTTACTACCCTGTAAGCACCAAGGCATAAGCAATGTTTTTGGCCGTTTGTCCCAAAATTTCAC